TTTAAAATGGAAACCAGGTAATTTCATTCTTACAGGGATAAAGGCTGATATACTTCATTATCTCACCATTTCAAATAAACACAGACACATGTGGATACCGTGTGTCTGATATAGAGTGACCATCTAATTTATTCTCCAAATGGGGACAGTTATAAGAGTGAAAGGGAGCTCTGTTAACAAACAATAAGGATAAACCAGGACTAGACCCAGGCAAACTAGGAATCTGGTCACTTGACCCAGGTACATGGCTCATTCTCTCACTTCCATTGAGCTCTTTTCAAAATGTCACCTGTACACCTGAAACTAATACCAAATAAGGCTGAATGCAAACTGCTATTGAAAAACAAAATTTAAAAAATGTCACCTTCTCAATGAGGCTTCTTTAACCTCTATTTGAAGTGGTCACACACTCCTGCCCCTGTGCCATAATGCCTGCGCTGATTTATTTTCCTCCTTGGCATTAGCCCCACCTTGATCTCCCCTCTCTAGAAGATAAACTTCAAGAGGGCAGGGGATTTTGGCTCTTCTGTTCAATGTACTATATCCCCAGCATCTAAATCACCCTGAACACTGTAGGTGGTCTATAAATATTTGGTGGATGGATGAATTGGGGGTGGGGAGCAAGCGTTCTATTTCTTGAAGAGCCTTTCTCTGTAGAATTTCCTTCCTAAACCATTTTTCTTGTTCCCTTCTATTTATCTTGGTCACCCTTTGGTAATTTGAGACCGTAGAAGAGTTTTCCAATGTGCTCTTAACCCTAGTGGGAGCTGATGTCAATTTCCTAAACTAACACAGGGGCTCCCTAGGAAGGAAGCTTGTATCCAGTACCAGCCCAGGTTAGCAGGTTGCAAGAGGTAGGAGAGGAGTTCTTACCCTTAGGAAGTCACGTGTCGGGGGGTCCTGCCCTGCGGTTGTGACGTTGTGATAGTCAGTGTCAGAGCCTTGGGGCTGTGCCAGCTTCTGGGGCTGGTACCAGCACCAAAGACCTGCTCCAGGCCCATGTGGGGAGCTCCAGTTCGCTCATTTCCCCCCTTTTCTTTTAAATCTGCATCCCCAGCCTGTGGGCACATACTGAGCAGCGTGAGCAGTGTATCGGGGTCCAGCCTTGCCTTCCCCAGAATCCTAAAGGTTTCGTTTCTGAAAGAGCCCCAGAGGAAAGGAGAGATGAGATGGGGGTGGGGGTGGGATCAGACACCTTATTGCTCGGTGGGGGAGTGAATTTCAGACCTGAGGGAGATGGCAGTTATTGCTGAGGGGGAGTGTGCACCCTTGGAGCCAAGGGGGGCTGCGATAGGGACAAGAGGGGAAATAAAATGCCCTGTAGGATTTCTGTAACTTTGGTCTTCTTAGGCCTCCTTAACATGGCTGTATAGCAGGAGCTGAGGTCCTCGTGGATTGGAGATGGGAGAATAAAATAGCTCTTGGGGACAGGAGAGTAACATAGCTATTGCGACTATTGAAACGTCACAGTACCAGCAGTAAGCAGTATAGATGTACTGAAAGAATTTACGTAAGTGCAGCAGAAAAACTAAAAAGGGAAACCTAGAGGAAGTTTCTGATTCCTCCTCATTGTATCAGTGGAGCCAAGGAAGCCTTGGCAAGCAATTGTACTGTCGGGAAGCCGCTTTGTGAAACAAAAGGCAATTCCCGCAGGCATATCCCTAATTTGGAATATGAAGTCCTTTGCAATTTGGTGGATATGAATTCAGCCTCCTAGTTTCATTTCCCATGAGATACATCTGTACCTCCTCTATTTTCACATCTGCCTGCCTGCCTCAGAGACTTCCATTCAAAGTCTGACCTTGCAAGGCTTAACTTGATGTCACCACCTCCAAAACTTTTTGAGGACTCCCAGTCAAAATTCGTCCCTCTCTTCTTCTCTTAGTCCCTATTACCCTTTGTTTGTAATTCTGTTGTACAAGAGTATAACACTTGAAAATATACATATTTATATATATCTTCCTATCTCCCTTTGAGGCAGGGATGCAGACTTGCTCCCATTCTGGGGAGGGAAGGACTGACGCATCCATTTCCCCGCCCCCAAGCCTGTAGGGCTTGGCACATGGTAGGATCTCAGCCTTTTTGCTGAGCAGAATTGATTCTGGGTTAATCAGATGAACACATTATACAGTAGAACACATTACACAGTATTCTTCCCCTCCCCACTCTGGGCAGTGACCCGCTTTGTGGCTGGTACACCTTGCTCCTGGCTCGGTCATACTTATAGCAGGGGGCCCTGCTATTTGCTTTTCTTAGTCCTGACTCCAGCATTCTCCCTTTGATCTCCGCCACCTGCCCCAGCTGGCCCCCACCATTGTCCTGGGCAGGGAGCTAAAACCTCTCCTTCCCAGGCCCAGGCCTCTCCTTCTCTCTTTCCCAGCATAGCCTGCGGCTGGCACCCAAGGAATCAGTGATGGCAGGGAATGGCTAGAATAAGACTAAGGGTATGCCCTCTCAGCCCCTGAGGCTGCCGGGTAGAGCCAGCTGCCCCTTGTGTATCTGTTCACTTTTTTTTGTCACCCAAGGGAGCTTGTTCCTGGGTTGGATGGGAATATATGCAGATGATCTGCGATGTGAGGGACTGAGGGCCGGGATCCTGGGAAAGGCTGTATTGCCCTTCTGACTAAAATTCTGCTGTTCAGAGAAGTAAACAGGGTAGTCATAATATTTGTGGGCCCTGAAGCCAGACTGTTTGGATTCTAATCCTGTTTTACCACTTACTAGCTGTGACTTCCTCAGGGAAATGGGGTCATACTATTGCCACCATGTTCATTCATTCACAAATAGTTATTGCTCTCCTACTGTGGGCCAGATTGTTCTAGGTGCCAAGGAAATAGCAGTGACTAAGACAAAAATAGGTTAATCCAGTAAATACTTAGGACAGTGTCTAGCACATAGTAAACATCAGCAAATGGACCTATATTCTTTTCCTAGTACTTTCCTGAGAGTATATACGCAGGTAGAAAAACCTTTGGCAGCAACTATAGGACCAGCTCTCTCTGAGGAGGGGAAAGATAGAGGGAGGGCAGATATATAGGCTCTAGATTTGTTCTCAGGTCCCGGAGGGCACTGGCTTTAGTGGCCTTTCAGTTCTGTCACTTCATTTTGAGACTAAGTACATGACCCTGCTACAGATCCCCCTGGAAAACTGATGAGTCTGTCTCGTTCTCTAGAAAGAGCAGGAGGCGGGGACCGGGACGGCCTGGCCCTGGCCTGGCCCATTTGTGCAAGGACGGTGCCGGCCCAGCTGCGCATGGATGATGCAGCAGAGGCCACATCTCTCGAGCAGAGTGAAGGGAGATCTTAGAGACACGAGCTAGAAGGAAGGGGAACAGCTGTCGGCCCCTCCACTGGCAGGGCTCTCTGGCTGCGGAGGAGAGGACCTTCTAGGGGAGGAGGTGGCTTGGGAATTGGAGAGTTGAACCCGGAAGGGAAGCGAGGTCAGGTGGAGGCGTGGGGCCTAATGGCTGGGCTTCCCTGTTGGCTTCCTTCCTCAGGTAATGCAGCCGAAGAGAGCTGTTTTACTCCTGGTGTGATTAGTGGCTAGAAGGAAAGTTTGTGCTCGGGGCTTCTGATTCATTGTCTGTGGTTTCCAGTGGAAGTCCGAGAGTGGTATAATCTCTATGGGGGGAATCGGGTTAGAACAGAAATGTAAGTTTCATTTCCTGGGATCGCCAAGTTTTTTCAGCTACCACCTTGCTCCAGGAAAGGTAAATGTATAATCTTGACTGTGGTTCAGCAGCTCCTTCACTGCTTCTCCCGCTTTCTCTCTTGTATCCTTCTCCCTCAGTGGGTTTTCAGAAATGAATGCCCTTACAGCCCAGAAGAAGTGCCCTTGACAAGCAATATGGACCAATCCAGGATTCTTGGGTTGGTTCCCACATGAGCTGCTGGTATGACTTCCTTGAGACCTGCTCACTTGGCTGGGAACCATAATGATTTGCATGCATAGGGACAGATGAAGTAGTTCTGGGTCCTGTCCAAGATTAGGAAGTGCAGCCAAGTTTGGGAACATTGCATATCATGCTCTTTCATCTCATTTTTATTGCACTTTCTTCAGTCTTCAACATTGCTTCACCTCAGTTCAGCCAATGAAGGCAAGTTGAGCTAGGCAAAGCATTTTGCTGTGAATAAAAATCCATGCATTTCATTCTATATTGAAGGAAACAAATATAATGTGATTATAACAGTGCTTCTCAACTTTTATTTTATTATCACTTCCCTGAGGAACCTTTTAACTTTTTTTTTCCTAATCACCCCCCTCAGGAAATTTTAATATTAAAAATATACCAAAATTATACATACATATATATATACAGCACAGATATATATCTCTGTGCTTTATACTTTAAAAGAATAAGATTTTTTTCACCCAGCAAGAGCCCATTTTCACTCCCCTGAGGGGAGACACCTTCCCCTGTGAATTCGGTTCATGGACGATAATGGAGCGCAGCGGCATCGCAGTAGGCACTGTCAGGTGTCAGGTGAGCCTCCAAAGCTTTGCAAACTTCATTTCTCCCATTTCCCCTGACTGAACATCACAACCCCATACTTCTTCTTGTCCCTCAGCCTGTCACTCCCATGTCGCGCTCACTCCCCTATCCTGGACCTCATCGTTCATCCTTTTTTCTCTCTAGTATGGAGTTTTAGGAGTGAATTTAATTAAAACAGTAATCTGTACAGCTCAGGGACAATGATTTCCTGATATCATCCCCTTAGAAGAAAGAGCCCAGAGACCTATGGAGTGTTCATGGGAGAACATAATAGACCTAAGCATTGGGGGAAATAAAGACACCCATTTGGAAATTGCCTGTCAGAGGAGACTCACCAAGAGGTCTTTGTATCGGTCCCAACAAGCGTGGATATGGGCACCTTCTATGTGATCTGACTGCTATATATAAATTCATTTGGGGTTGATGCTGTTCCTGCCAGTGGAATATCAAGTCCCTTTTCTCTGGCAATACAGTGTGACCAACGACAGCATCTCCTCTCTCCTATAGAAACTACCAGAGGCATGCAGTGTTGGTGACGGAAGACCCTTTGTCGTGAATCTACAACACCTGTATACGGCAGTCACCAGACAAGAGGTCCAAGTGAGACAGGAGCATCCAGACACTGGTGAGGAGCTCAGAGGGGCTTGGTCTCCTGGAGTTAGAGTTAGGGTCTAGGTTTGCGGTAGCTCTAGCCACTTGTGACTATTTAAGTTTAAATCAATAAAAATTAAATGAAATGAAAATTGGATTCCCTCATTTGCTCTAACCGCATTTCAAGTGCTCAGCCGCTGCTAGAGGCTACCGAGATGGACAGAAGAGATAGAGAGCATTTCCATCATTGCGGGAAGTTCTATTTAACTGATGTATGCACTTAGGAGAATTAGTAAGAGAACCAGGAGAAAGATGAACGTCCTACCTGAGACATGTCAGGAAATGTGGAGAAGAACAGTGGGCTCTTTGGAGTCAGGGAAGCTCTCTTCCTACCCGGTAAAAGTGGACCTGGGCAATCTTCATAGTAGAAACAGGGCTTTTCAAAAGTCAGCTGGAAGGTGGATTTGTGGCTACTCCTGTCTGTTTATGTATTTAGTACCAACCTAGCCTTTGCGTCAGAATGCTCGGTAAGTTCTAACATCTTCCTGGTAAGAAGGCATTTATCTCTATCTTCCCTTGATCTTTCTGACTCCAGGAGATCCTCAGACCTCAAGCAGTGCCTCCCCACAAGGAACTGATAGTCACCTTCTGAACCAGCCAGAAGAGCTGGATTCCTCAGCATCATCCCTCCCAGTGCCTGACGAAGAGCCCACGGTGAGTCACGGGCAGCTTCCTGGCTGGTGTTCTACAGTCCACGCCTATAGCCCCCAAGCCCACGGTCCCTGGCATTGCTACCTGGTTGCTGTTGTCTTAATAATATTGGCAGATATTTGTCACCAGGCTCCCAAATGGTGGCTTTCTAGGTCGAGAGTTTTCTATATCTCCTCTCTGCAGTTCTTATACTGAATGGTGGACCTGGACTTCGTTTCTACCTCATCCCACCTCCAGCGACGGTCTGTGTGGTCATTCCCTGGGGGAGAAAGGATATGTTTGCCTCTTGCATAGGGTCTTATATCACATTCTCTGCCTGATATAAACTCCAAAACACTGTGTTGGCCACTTCAAGAAGGCCTCATCCAAACCAGGGCCACGGGAGGAAGTTCCTTTCTTAAATGAAGTGGACGTGTTCAAACCCCCTATTAATTTGGGTTTCTTTTGTCCCTAGGATACTTCATGCCCTGCGCAGAGACCTCAGCTGTCCAAAGTCAAGAGGAAGAAGCTAAGGGGGCTCTTCAGTTAAACTGCCCACTCTCCCAGCTGCTGAGGATGGACTTGGGGAGAGGTTTCCGAGTGCCGCCTAGAAAGGAGCTCCTGTGGCAGCAGTGTCTCTGACACAGTATTGTGGTCAGAGGCAAGGTCACCGAAGTTCCTCAAGGTCGCTGAAGGCCGCCTGAATGGGTACTATGAAATGAGGGAATCTTGGCTCCAACCCATCGGGCACTGGCCTTCTCTATCCGAATGGAAGCCGGTCTCTGGGAATGCCATACCCTCCTCTTTTTTGGTGGAGGTTCTCTAGACCCAGAGCCCTACCGTGGACTTCAGGTATATAGGACAAGTCAGCAGAAAGGCACAGCATGCTTAGGAAGCCTTGCCTATCTTTCTCAAGAGTCCCCTAAGCCAGTTCCGGGTGCTCCTCAGAGAGCCACTTCTCTCTTTAGCATGGAATAAAAACCACTCCCACTCCCCTGCTTACTCATTCTGTGGAACCCATTGCCCACTTCACTTTACTGGATCCCACCCCACTATTGTCTCGGGATAAAGTCTAGACCTTCAGTCCAGCCCTTCAGGTACTTCTTATGCATCTCTCCTGTGGATGTGCTAAACCTCCACCTGGGAACTTTAATCTTGAGAACTCTCTAAGGTGGGCACAAGACAGAGCAGATGGCTTGTGCTCTCCTTTGCCCAGTTGATGTGGGGTTTTTTTTAGGGGGGTGGAGGGTCTGTGTCCAAGGCATAGACAACAGGTTAAGCCACAACATGGGATTAAAATTACAAAGCACTTTGAATAGTAGGGCCAAGCCACTTTCCCACTGGAGTGAGAGAAAAAGGAATTTTACCTTCCCATCCTTCATTCCACCTCAAATAACCTAGTAACTAGAAGAACTAGGGAAGATAGGATGACAGGGAACAGGAAATGGCCACAGGAGTTCCGTGGGAAAACATAATTGACCTATAGAATGAATAGTGCTTAGCAAGAAAAAAATATTAAGGCTGTATGAGATAGGCAGGATCTTAGACTTTTAGAAAGTCAACTCTTTGGACAGATCTGGCAAGATTTTAGCAGACCAGGATTGGCGAAGTCCCTTGGCCTTCTCTGTTAGGTTTTCCTATACGGGTGAACCATATGAAACTTTACCTTGCAGAGATGGTAAGAAAGGCAGAACTCAGATGTTAACTGGGAGCTGTTAGGTAGGAGAAGGGGTCAGGGGCAGAATCCACAGAGGCCTTTACGAGTTTATTTACAAGGGATGGTCAAATGCCTCCGCACCCTCATATCCTCTCCAGATGGGACTGGTATTTCCATCCTATGTCAAATCATAGGAGAGCGGACAGTCCAAGCAATAATAAAATAATAACGATTATAAAGAGAGCAACAATAATAATAATATTTATTGAGCTGCTAATGTATACCAGATTAATAAGACTCTGACATTGAATCCTCGCAACATCATACAAGGAAGATACTGTTAACCTACTAGGAAATGGAGTCTCGAAGAGATTAAGTGGCTTATCAAAGGTCACGCAGCTGATGAGTAACAGCCAGAATTTGAACCCGGACAGCTGAATTCATCATTCTGTACATTACTGAAAACGTTTCCCAGGAAGGTTGTCAGGTCCTTCTTTCCTGTCTTACTGTAACATCCTTCTCCTGGGACCCTGCCTACTTTCAATAGAATGTTCCACTTCTCGTTGCTCCTCAAGGCAGGAAACTTGAAGGACTCCGGGTTTACCTCCTGTCTTTACCCGCTGGCAGAGTCTGAGAGCTCCAGGCGGGCTCATACCAGTTGCTGCTGATGCCTTTCTTTACCGCCAGACCCCAGTGTCTCAGGGTGCACGCACCCCATGGCGGTGACTGTCATTGAAGTGATTTGGGAGCCAAGTAAAAACAATCTATAGATGGCTCATTTTGTTCATTAGTTCCTTTTTGGCATAATTTAGATAACCAGATTTCAGGATCTACAAGATAGGAGACCGCCTAGGAAATGGAAAAGTCTTTCCCAGCAAGCTGGGAGAAAGTATGGGTTCTTTATCTGGATAATCCCTCTTAAGAGCAGTCTCCAGAGCAGGCATTTGTAATCATAGGGGGATCAGGGGTTTCTGAATCCCCCCAAATTATGAGTAAAACCCTAAGAGCATACTTTTTTCATGTTCTCAAAAGAATGTGTACTTTTAAAAAAGGTTCAATAAGAATATGCCTAATGACCTCTCCGTCCGCCCACTTTATCCCCAAAGGTCGCTGTCTCCATGGGGATATTGCCCAAACACATCCTTCTGTAAACATTGCTTCCAGAGGCCCTGCCTCAGGCACTCTTGCCCTGAAGCTCTTACCCCCCAAACCTAGGGGTGGTGGTTGAGAATCTTTCTTCCTGGGGCAACTCCAGGGAAATCCCTGCCTTGACAAATTGGCCTAACCAGGCTGTATTCCAGCCCTGCCCCCTGGTTTGGGCCCCTCCCTGAGGCCCCCAGCCTGGCCCAACCCCCACTCCGCATGCACATAAAAGGGTCGAATTCTCGTGGCTGCTCCATAAATTTTATTCCGTAAATATTAGTTTTCCCTGTGTTTAATAAAGCAGTGGCCCACCTCCCCGCCTACCCGCCCGCTCCCCGGGGCCGGGGTTGGGGCCAGGGCTGGCTGGTGGGAGAAGGGACTCTTTCAATTGCTTTGGAGTATTTTTAGAAAAAAAAATAATATAAGGTGGTTTACACGAGCAAGCCAGCAAACCAGGAGCAGGACTAGAGACCTCGAGGAAGTTCCTGCAGGAACCTGACCTAAAAAGTAGAGAAATAGCGCCACCTAGGCTGCAAGGCCTTCTTGGCCTGGCTGGCTGGCTCTCCCCTCCCCCACAGCCAGCCAGGGCTGGCCAGCTCTTGGCTGGAAGGGAAATCTTCATCCCTTAGCACTCCAGCTGGGCAGCACCTCCTTTCCTCAGGCCTCGCAGAGGGCTTTCCCAGCAGCCCTTGAGGGCAGAGCCCAGGCCGGGTCCTGGAAAATCCCACTAGGGCCACCCTCTTTCCCCCTGTCCCAGCCAGCCAGCCTCCCAGATCAAGGAGCGTTTCCGAAGGATAGTCAAGTTATTGAGAAAGGAGGAAGGAACGTCTAGTTTTCATCCTCACGCTGTATCCCGAGGAGCTTGTCCTGGAATTCTTAGGGTGTCAGGTGGCAAACAGTGAAATCGGTGCTCTTCCGCTCTGGAGCTGGAAGGAATCTGTCCCTGTCAAATCAAGAGGCCTTCCGGGTCTGATGCAGGTCCCCTGCAGTGGGGCACTCAAGTCTCCTGCATACTTAGTCCTCCTGCTTCCTAATTTTTTCTTGTGGTGCATGTGAACTCCCTTTTGTTTTGCTGCCTTCCTATTCACTTAAACCTCCCCTTTTCCGAAGCCGTCCCCCCTCCTTTGCGCTGGCCCTCTGGAGACGAGCAGGAGCCCCGTGTGTTGTCCCCAGTGCAAAGATGGCGGAAGGAGTGGGAATGGAAAAGGTGCCTCTTCTCCTGGTCCTGCTCCAATCTCATCCTTGACATTGTCACTGGGGCATTTTCTTCTCTCCAATTATGATGTCCCTCATTTTCTCCTATTGACAGAACTGGAGAGATTTGCTCCAAACAGGATAGAGGGAGCCTAATAACCACTTCATGACCTTTCCTCGTGATGCGGGAAGCTCCCTTCATCTGCTCTGCTCACCCCTCACTGTTTGTGTTATGAATGTAATCCATGTTTATATACATGTTTTTATTGCTTTTTGTTTTCATTCTTACATTAAATTACACTCCTTGGGAACAAGGTCAGTTTATAACCCTAACTCAGAAACTATCACCGTGGAGGTATTACACAACCAAAGGGCCCACCTTATGTTAACTGGGTCTTGATATAATCAGGAGCTTTTCGAAGCTGCTCTAATGTTTTTCTGTCTTGGAATTTTCCTGAAGAAGAAACTATTCAAAAGGAGTAAGTGACATACTGCAAGGAAGCCACCACACTCAGAGCTCAAGACCTGTGGTTCCTAGCCCCCGTGAGCAACATCAGTAACCCTATGGGCTCACAAAATTGATTATGCCAGGCACTTAGATACAGAGGTTAATGCCAGAGGAGAAGGCTCGGGAGCGAGGGTTTCTCCTAGATGCTATGACCTCCTGGGAGCTGCTCCTGGGATTCCTGTTGAAGGTTCCTACTACCCTATTTTTCTTTCATGTTCTCTTGGATAGGGCCTCTGAAGATGCCTCCGTAAGTGGGAGGGTACAAAGTGCCTGTGTGTCAGGGAAAGGGATCTGAGGGCATCCCTTTCTACTTGAGAAACTACAAGCCCATCTACCCTCCATCTTTCATCCCAGACCCTTCAAGGAAGACTTTCTCACCTCCCAAGACTTTGCTCTGGTGGCTTTTTATCCTTCCCCTCAATCCTGGGGTCTCACGTCTCTACCCTGGTGCACAGGAAGTCATTAGGTAGCTCCAAAGCATTCTAGCAAAGGCTCACTTGTTCTTCTGAGCTGTTAAGTCCTTCCTGCACTCAGTTTCCCTGTTCTGGAGCACAACAGGTGTCGCTCTGCTTCCCCACACTCCTGGATCCTTTAAATGAGTGCTCGCCTCTCCTCACCTAACTCCCATGGGTTCCTGGGGACCTGGCCAGCCTAGGGGAACCCGGAAGAGGCATTGGAAGAACTCCAGGGTGTGGGGAGCACACAGCCATTGACTCACCTGGGAAGATTGTGCCCGGATTACTCGTCCTGCTGGGCCAAGGGCCAGGAGTTAAAGGAGCATGCAGTACCACACTCTTCCTCCCCTCACTCTGAGGTCAAAAACATTAGCAGGGGTAGAATTGGGGACTAGGACTCCGGGGCTGCTTGGAGTCCCTTCTGAAATCTGGGTGTTGTATTTACTTTTTCATATTGGCAGCTGGAAGGGGAAGCCCATCCCAGCTCGGCATTGTTGTCTAACATGGTTAATCAGATCCTATAATCCTGCTGTGGAAATATTGGGCCTCACTCAAAACAATAGAGACCAAGAATATTGTGGTTAAATTTCAACCAACTGCCTCCCTGGCCTGTTTGCCTAACCCCTACCCCCCTCTCCCGGGCCAGAGTCCTCCTCGCTTTATGGACCCCTGATAGGATCGACAGCGGTCAGAAATCGGTGACAGGGGAAGGGAGAATGGAGTAGGGGAAGGGTAATCCTCCTGACTGGCAGTCTATCCTGCCTTTCCCCTCCCACCCTGGGCCTTGAGGGATGAGCAGGGGGTGGTGAAAGGAGTTGGAGTTGGCGGGGAAGCCCCTCGGGGTCAGAGCTGTGTTCAGGAGTCAAGAGCAGTACTTCTGGGTAAAGAGACCCCTCATTCAAGACAGAAGGAAACTGCGGCCAGATCAGAAGGAGAGACTCTCAGCTGTATTTATTATGGCTGCCTGATGCTCCCAGGGCACAAAGCAATGCCAGTTTTTGTCCTATGTCACATCTGGGAGACACAGGAAGGCACTGGTTGGGAGAAGGGGAGCTGGCAAAAAAAATGTTCTGAGTGATTAGTAATCTGATATAACAGCAATATAAATACTACTAATAATACTCCGACAGTGTATGAAGGTGATATGGACACCTTCACTGGCGGGGTTTTCTGGTAGTGGCACTGTCCATTATGTTGCTCTCTACAGTGAGTCCGAATTAAACGTGGCAGGGTAGTTTACATGATTAGAATAGTGGCATAGAGGGAGCAGATACGCTCTACAATGACATTGTGAATCAAAAAAAAGGATGCAGTGTCTGGATGATGCTAAAGAGGAAAATGAACATGGTGATACATTCAGCAAAAGGCAGAAGACATTCCCCTTGCAGACATCGGGGCATCCGGCTCGGGAAGTGGCCAACTTCGAGTTTGTACTGGGCAGTCATGTATCCCAGAGGCACTGAACAGAAATTGCAGCCACACCGTGTCACCAGTCAATGAGGTGAAGCACAGTGAGGCCCCAGCTCCAGCACCATGCGCTATTGAATGGTCAAAGTGTATGTGCATTTTTAGTATTTGAACAATGAAATAGCAGAACTGTGCCAAATGAAACTATATTTACTCAGTCTGTTCATAGAGGGTGGGGATGAAGGAACAATAAAGAGCACTTGATGTTTCTCACCTAGGGTGCCATGTGACAATTAAGGGACTGACATGGTTCCTGTGGGTCATTCGTCAAAGCCATTTTGAAGTTGGGACTGCTTGGTGAGAGCTGAGCTTTCCACCAGAGAGACATCTGGAATACAGGTTCTGGAATTGAGACTCTAAAGAGTATATGTATGCTTCAGGATAGGAATTCCAAAACCAATGTAATGTCAGTCATCAAATGGAATTGTAGCAAGTAGGAAACTGATATCGAAATCATCTGAAGATGATGGAAAACATTTAAACAGTTAAGCAACTTGAATTACTAGTGGGGAAACTCAATAAGAATGATCCCCAGTAGATGCTTCAGAGAATGGGCCATATTCCTGACCAAAAGGGTAGATGAAGAAGCTGAACTGGTTGGTTAAACGTTATGCTATCTATACTTAGACTGGAACTGCCAATGGGAAAGTTCAACAGGAAAATCCCAGGTCATAGAAAGGAATTCAAAGGAATGGCAGAGTTTTGTAGGAAATATGTTGGGAATGAGATGGAAAAATGCATATTCAACAAGAAACAGTAAAAATGCATTTACTCAACTCATTTTATGTGTGTGTGTCTGTGTATAAAATATCTTACTAGCACCCCAATAGGCATTATGCTACATACATATGTAAATGTATACATTATGTATGGCCACAAAGACAGAGCTCTTGCTTTCAAGAAACCTACAATCCAATGATGATATTAAAAGATGGATTTTTTCCTAAAAATTTTTCAAGTGTATGAGGTCCAAAGTGAGAGCCATGACTATATATATCTTTGTTTGTTGTTAAAAAGAATCTCATGTATAAATGCGATTTTGTTATCTGCTTTTACTTTTGTTTAACTATGTTCTGTCCATATTTACATGTCAATACATACATTTCTTCAAAGGGCACATTATCTTCACTCTGAGCTTTATGAAAAGTTTGAAAAACACCCTCATGATCAGTAAGTAGAAAGTCAAGTTTACTCACTCTATTCCGCCACCCCCATAGCTCCATCTTTGACCTCCTTGCTATTTCTCTAATATGCAAGCACTTCAGAGCCTTCGCTCTCTCTATGCGGTTCTCCCTGGTAGAATGCTCTTCCCCTCGTTCTCCACTTAGCTGGAGCCCTCACCTCTTCAGGTCTTGGATTAAGTCGCACCTTCTCACTGAGGCCTCCACGGACCACGCCGCCTAGCAGAACCACCCGCCTCCAGACCTTGCACCCTCT